GTATCTCGTCGTCACAACGCAAGGAACGCGGCCATCTTTCAGCAGTTAACCGAACGAGTGCGACCGCCGCCGCCGGCGTTGCATATCGACCGTTGTCGCGAAAGTACGAGAGAGAATTGCGAAAACGCCGCCACACAGCTGCACTAGCGGGCGCAGTGGCGCAATGACGCATTAGATGAGAGAGAAGTGCTATGCATCCGACAATATATAATATTTCACTTTTTTTTCCCCGCTATTTGTTATTATCTATATAGAATAAAATTCTTCGACCGTTCCTCCATTCATCCATGTCGCATTCTATTCATATTATTATATTTAAAAAAAATAGGATTTTATAGATGCATGCGATCTCTTGTACGAAGCGCGGTGCATAGCAACGAACGGATAGCATAGCAATGGCATACCTCGTTTCCTCGACTCGTGCTAAGTGCTTTGCCACTCGATTCTCGATTGCAATCACTATCGCTTATTATAAATCTTTCATGCGATTTCGAAGCGACTGTATTTCGAAGTATTTCGAAATGCGCTATAATGATGACTCGAATTTGAAACGTTAATCTTATAATTTCGTATTTTAACCAAATATTTCATTCAGTCTATTTTGATAATTTGATTTGAGTAATTATTCGTAGCGTTCAAAATTATAAGTAATGTTATCAAGAAATTGTGTATTTTTGAAGCTGCGTTCAATGCTTTTTCGTACTCCATAAATCTGATCATCTAACTTTTAAATTTCTTATTTTATCGAATAGATTATATGCTTTATAATTTATAAAGTTTGCTTTCGATATTTCAATATTTTCAAAAATTTTACGTTAAAATAACTTCTTTTTGTCTTTTTTTGCTCATAAGTTCTAATTCTTCATAAATTCTATGCAATCGCTATTACTAATACAATTTATTTCTTCCGTTTGCAATTGAGGCATATAGAAATCTCAGAGCGTTAAGTAAACTAATTGAAATAAGCAATTTTCCTGTCCTTTTTTTTCCTCTCTTTCTCCATTCTTCTTTTCTATGGTAGCTGTGATATTGTGGATGAACAGCATCCGTATTCAGCTTTGCGTCACATTGTCTATTCCATCACGTCTCCGTATATTTCGCTCCCTTCTGCCGTCATCCTCTTCCCTTCCTGCCGCTTCTCAGCGACTCACTCGTCCGCCTCCTCCGCCGCCTCCATCGTTTTGCCCTGCCGCACCGTGAACCCGCAACGAAGACAGCGCAAAAGTGAAGAGAGGGCAGCGCGAGATACCGGTTATTGGCGGGGAACTGGCATATTTCACCGGGTGTCCGGCAATCAGGCTTTTGTGTACGGCTCACTGCACGCCGTTGTGTACTCGCGCGCGCGTACTACGATGCAGGAGAGAGGAAACGAGGGAGCAGCTAGGTTGAGACGCAGCGGAAGGGAGACACGCGGCGGGGAAGAAGTGAGAGCGACCGAGAAACGCAACGTTTATTCAACGGCGTGGAACTAGTCATAGGTGCGCTCGGTCGGTCATGGAATGGGAGACGCGCGGGGTGCGCATGGCGCACACGGACGACTGGATACACTTATACAACCAGAAGAGTATCCAGATACGTGTATTTGCCCGCACAATCGATATTTTCCAGCGACCGCAAGTGACTAAAATCACACTCGCTAATAATTGAGTCGATTTTTTATACACCTTTTTAACTACGTCGATATTATATTTAAAACGCTTGTTATATCGCACATAACTCGAGAACAATGAAGCTTCCTTGCGCGATCGTAAATAATTTACTGTAGCGCTCGACATGATGAGGTCATTGTTTCCAACAGATAAATACGTAATAGACGCTCCTCCTTCGCTCGCCGTGACTTACGTCGCAGAAACGCGTCTTTCGCCTGCAATGTACTAGAACGTCAACACGTTCGTACGTGCCCGCTTCTGAATAAAGTTCTATTCTTCAATAATCACAAAGTTCTCTATAACATTAATTGTTTTTTTTCCCGTTCTTATACTGAAATTTATAGAATCGCAGGAAATAAATTGGAAATAAAATTACTTTAACTTGCAATTATTGAATAAAATTATTTCTTCGAAGAAATCTTTTAAGACGAAAAATACTCTGATGTTAAATATGAAAAAGGAAAAAGCATTGACCGTTTGAATGTGATCTTTTGTTGTGTATTAATTTTTAAGTTAATTTAAAAATAAATCTGAAAGGTGGTCGAGAGAGAATAATAATAATCGACTCGGAAATAATTTTGGTTCAAATCAATGCGCGAGAGGGTCGAGGTACGCCAAGTAGGTCGCCGCAAATCCCATTGCTGCCAACAACGCGACGACGAGACGCCACCGCTGCCATTGCGAGGAGCAGCGCGTTGCACTTCTCGCCGTGAAACTACCACGAGAGCTCGTTAATACCGCGCACCCATTTAGTAGATACTCGAAGCTAGCTAGCTAGCAGCACGATGTGATACTCGTACAATCGATACGTCGAAGATCAACGACTCTTACTTGCACGGTACTTCGAGAAAGAGTAAATAAAATCTTAGCAAGAATGTAAACCGCGAGACTTTCGAAGATCGATACGTTTGTTTACTTGCCGCTAAGAATGCAGCTACAATACTTTTATTTAATACAAGATCAGAAAACAATTCTTAAAGAAAGTTCTGAAATTGATATTAGATTTTGTATTAGATGCTAAAGCAATAATTTGACATTTTTTCGTATAACGCAAATGTCATCAAAGCGATTCTCGCGCACGAACCTTTGAACAATGAGCCCGAAGTCGGTCATGAAAAGGATTCGCCTGATTCTTTAAGGTCCACCCGATGCAATCTTTCGCGGGCTTGCCCGCACTCACTCTGAAAATCGCACATACTTTACAAGACTTTCTAATTCCCCCTTGACGTGTTTTCCTCACGTTCGATATCAATAGCGAATTACGCGTACTTACGTTACTCGCTTACTTTCGATCTGTAACAAATTTCTCGATGTTTTACTACCAACTTTTAAAATATTTGATCCTAGTTGACTAGAAAGTTATATCGATTGCTGGCTGCCCTTCATTTGTTCATAACTTCTCTTTTAATTGTTCAACAATGAGTTCACCTTATAAGTCGATATTTTATGTACTGTAAACTTTAGAATTTAAACTTTAGAAAATTGATCACTAAAGTAAGCATGAACCGAGCTCAACAAAAAGTAACTTGCGACAAGTGTAAGATATTGCAAATTGTCTTGTAGTAACGGTATCCAAAATTTCATGCAGAAAAAGCCAATTCCAAATTTATCGTAAAAACTGAAAAAAAATGTTTAATGCGATTTTGGATATTGCATATAATTGACAAGCGTATTTTCTAATCCACAACATAACATACGATTGGGTACTAAATTTAGTCGAGCACGACTGCGATTTTCCTTTTTATGGGATTTCTGGCTATCTGGAATAATAGTAGTGATTTATTTCACGGGTGCTGGTTTAAAATTAACCACCGGCACGTGCACGTGATAATCTCGGCTAATTGACGCTTGCTCAATCGTACTGATGAAAGTGGCGAAATCATTGCCGAAAGAACGTCGCGTTCGACTTTCTAAGAAATTTTATGCTCTAAAGTAAGTACTTGCGTATAAATTACATGCAGGAAAGCATTTATATCTTTATTCTGATTTTCTTTATTAAATAAACTCACAATGTTAAATATAAATAACAATATGCGAACATTGCTAATTTGTGATCTGTTTTTCGTAAATGACTTTTTCCTTGATTTAATTCGGGATGCGATAAGCATCGTACAATCATTGTTTAACTCGTGATTTGTTAAGTTCAATATTAGCGACTATGTCTGTTTAATGCCGTATTAATTGAGAAAAGATCGTTGTGTGGAACTGACAATTGTTTGCAAATGTACACGCGTTTGTTGTGAATGGTGCTAAACACCAAGTGAATACGTATGATAATTAGTTGACTAAACAGCACACTTCAGTGAATCCATTGCAATGCGATTTATTTTTGACGATAGCGTATGCCATTCATCTTTCTTCCTTCGCACAAGGCTGCAAAAATAACAACGATTTGCCTTTGTGATAATGTTAGATAATACAGTTTAACAAGAAGTTCGATAAACGTGCAATGATTTTGTAAAATATATTTTCGACGGAGTAATAAGCGATTCTATCATCACGATTAAAATGGACACGTAAAATTAATTACTTATCGCGATTTATAAATGAAACGATTAAACTTGAAAAAGAATTGTTGGAATTTTTTTATCATGCTACTTCGATGTCTTTGCAATTTTTATGCCTTTTTTAGGCGTGTGTAGTGTAATGAAACAAATCGACGCATGCAAGGCATAGGCGCGGCGCAACAGTGATCAATGACCGATCAACAACTCGCGCAGCGTATTTGTCGAGAAAGCTGTTTGGTATCTACAGAGATCTCTCGCGAGAGCACTTCCGTCTTGCTTGAATTACGCATTGACTGCAAGAACAGCGATACGCAACATGTAAATTCTTCAACAAAGATCTCACATTATCGAGTAATCTCGAAGGCAAACCTATCGTTAAATCCTGCAGCCGGTTTTCCAGCTGGAAAATTTTCAAGACAATTTCGCGACCCGATTACCGTGATCTTTGTTTTCTTGTTTTTCTTGATTCAACTGAAGATTCTCAACGATGTTATCAACTCTACGCATACTTTCTTACTGAATTATTTAACCATTAAAAAAATACTCATTTATAATTACAAGAAAAATACTTCTTAATGTGTTTACTTAGATTGTGAAGAAATCGAAAAATATATCCGACAAAAATTCAGGATATTTCACGTATCTAAATTATTTGAAATATCTTCTATTCCTATCAAGAATATATAAAATCTTTCAATGCTTTCAATTTTAATCCAAAAGTAATACAAGCAAGATACACAAAATAATTGCAGAATTAATAGACAACGATTAAGAAAAATTTTGAAGTATAGTTTCGTCGCAAAACTCGATCATCATTGACACGGTTTTTATTTTTCTGTTACAGCCTATGGTCCACGGTCCTCAAATAGCCGAATCGAGGACTAGACTTGGTGAGGCCGAGGCCGGGCGAGGGGGATAGCCGATAACAACTGTCCTCCCTGGTCGCGCAACACTCGCTCGCGAGTTTCCACGTGGCGTCTTGCAAGGCCACCAAAACGTCGACCCCATCGGTAATCAAGTTATCGGGGGGTGGAACAGGTGGCGGTGGGGAGCAATTGTCCCCAGGGCCTGGCCCACCTCCCCCGGTGTCCCCGTTGGCCGCCGGTGACGGTCGCGGCAGCGACGAGAGCGCGGCGACCGCGTCTGCAGCGAGTAAAGATGACCAAGTGCAAGCTGCCGTCCCAGCGGCAATCGGACCGACAAAGTCCGTGTCTGCGGAAGTGGAAGAGGGCTACAGCAAGGTTGCCGAGACCACCATGAGCTTTGTGCTGCAGTTGGGCGTAGAACCGGCGTCTGCGCCGGCAGTGGAGAACGCGAAGGATGTCGAAGGCGAAGAACAACCGCCGCCGCCGCCGCCGCCGACGTTGTTGTTTGCTCGAGAAATATGGCGGTCCCAGGAGCCTGTGACAGTCGTTACCGGCGCTGGCAACACCACAGCGGGAAACACCGTGGTGATCGCGAGCAATGACGACGCCACCGTAGCTCGTAACAGCGGCAAGTCGCAGCTGGCGCAGTGTCTGGAGGCGATGAACAATCAGCAGCAAACGACCACATCTGCTTTCTCGACGGTCAAATCCGTGGTGACGTATCCGGTTGCTAAAGGCGTCAGGGAGCAGCAGAGGATGATCGCCGGCTCGCAGACCAACACCACGCAGGTGCTAACGA